GTGGTAGACAGACAACTGGCATGGAAACCTTGTCTTTCTCCTTTCCTCACTTCCCCGTATTAGATCAGTGCACAGTCTCCAGGATGCTGCAGCAAGCAGAGCTGAATCTCTGTTCATTCTTCCCTGCATTGGAGGATAAAGTGTCAGGGGACAGCCATCAACCTTGCACTGTGACCTGCGAGTGATTGGACTAGAAAGGACCAACTATAAAGCCGCTGCTGGAGCTACTGTGCCCATACAGATTAAGCTGTATATTGCTTGAAGCCATTTCTCAGAGGTGCCAGGCTCAAGGTCAAGCGATATGGGAAGAATTCAGAGATGCTGCTTGCCACTGAAGGGAGAAAATTTGTGCTGCCCAAACTCAACTAGAGTGGAAGCTGGGCAGAAATGTGGGGGACAATAAAAAGATTTTTTTAAAATCTATTAAGGGCAATAAGCAGTATAGAAATACTGGCCCATTGCAGGATGAGGAAAGTCACCTCACAAACAGGGGTGGAGACAAAGAAGTGCTGTTTAACACTTTCTTTACTTCTGTCTTTGACATGGATGATGAACCAAGGAGTCTCAGTGCGCTGAGCTGGAGGACGATGACTGCGACAAGGATCAACTGCCAGTCAACCCTGAAATTGTGTGGGATCTGCTGCTTCATCTGGATCCCTACAAATCTGTGGGACCTAATGGGATTCATCCCAGAATCTCCAAAGAGCTGGCTGATGTCGTCGCAAAACCTCTCTCAATGATTTTTGAGTAGTCTTGGGAATCTGGAAAGGTCTTACCTGACTAGAAGCTGGAGAACATTATTCCAGTTTTCAAGAACACCAAGAAGCGGGACCCCAGAAACTATAGGCCTGTCAGTCTCACTTAAGTGCCTGGTAAAGTTATGGAGAAGATTATTCTGGGAAGTATTGAAAAACACCGGAAAAACAATGCAGTCATTGGTCACAGCCAGCATAGCTTCATGAGAGGAAAGTCCTGCTTATCAAACCTAATTTGGTCTATGACACGGAAATCGACCTAGTTGATCAAGGAAAGTCAGTTGATGTAATCTTTTGGATTTCAGTAAAGCTTTCAGTCCTGTCTCTCACAGGATCCCTCTGGACAATATGTCCATCACACAGCTGGATAAATACATCATGTGATGGGTGAGCAATTGGCTCAAGGATTGAACACAGAGGGTAATAGTGAGTGGGGTAACATCAGACTGGTGACCTGTCACTGGTGGGGTTCTGCAGGACTCCATCTTAGGCTCTGTGCCCTTCAACATCTTCACAGATGACTGGGATGCAGGACTGGAAGGGATACTAAGCAAGTTTGCAGATGGCACGAAACTCAGAGAAGCTGTTGACTCTGAGCAGGAGGCCCTGCAGAGAGACCTCGACAAATTTGAGGACTGGGCAATCACCAACTGTAGGAAGTCCAACAAGGGAAAGTGCCAGATTCTGCACCTGGGATGGGGCAGCCCTGGATGTACATACAGACTGGGGAGTGAGATGCTAGAAAGCAGTGCTGCAGAAAGGGACCTGGAGGTCCTGGTAGATGGCAAGTTCAGTATGAGTCAGCAGTGCCCTGGCAGCCAGGAGGGGTAACCATGACCTGGGGGGCATCAGGCAAAGTATCGCCAACCAGCTTAAGGAGGTGACTGTCCCACTCTGCTCTGTACTGGGGCAGCCTCACCTTGAATATTGTGTGCAACTTGAGGCACCGCAATATAAGAAGGATATTAAGCTATTAGAGAGCATCCAAAGGAGGGCAACGAAGATGGTGAAGGTCCTTGAGGGGAAGCTGTATGAGGAGCAGCTGAGGTCTCTTGGTCTGTTCAGCCTGGAGGAGACCAAGGGATGGAGACCTCATTGCAGTCTACAACTTCCTCATGAGGGGAAAAGGAGGGACAGGTGCTCTTGTCTGTGGTGATCAATGACAGAACCCAAGGGAATGGCCTAAAGCTGTGTCAGAGGAGGTTTAGGTTGGCTATTAGAAAAAGGTTCTTCACCAGGATGTTGGGTGCTGGAACAGGATCCCCAGGGAAGTGGTCACAACCTCAAGCCTGACAGAGTTCAAGAAGCATTTGAACAATATTCTCAGACACATGGTGTGACTCTTGGGGATGGTCCTCTGCAGGACAAAGATTGGACTTGATGATCCTTATGGGTCCCTTCCAACTCGGTATATTCTGTGATTCTGTGAACTACATCTGCCATCGAGCCCAGTCCAATCACTGTGTTCTATAAACACAGCAAAGTAACATAGCTTGCTAGACAATCACTCAGGTGGATCACAGTAAAGATCCTGACCATTACAAGAATACTCAATAACAGCTTAAATGTAACAATAACAATATAATAATTAATATAATTAATATTAATATTTTAATTATGCTAATAATACTAATATTAGACCTTGAGAGTGTTGGAAAGACAGGGTACTTAGTATCTGTACTGAGTTTTTTTTATACAGTTTTAAGGACTTCCACTTTTTAATAGTACATTTCTGTGACTGCAATGACATGCAATATGAGAATGCTGAAGATAATCCTTTGGAATCTTCTCCTAAATACTTGACAGCAGGAGACATAAGTCCTGCCAACTTTCTAAGGACACTTATAAATTGCTGTCTTCAGAGATCTCATTTTGTCTTTCACACAGTGTACATTTCACCAGTATTTCCACAACTAACAATTTGTAGCTGTGGAAAAGAATAGGTAGCACATGTGGCTTGTGATGCAAGTAGACAGGGCAGGGTCACTGCTTAGTTGCTACATTTTTTTAAGTAACTTAGTCTCACTGTCAGTATCATGATGTTGACCTGAAAGAGCTCCCCATCATCCCTATTCCTCTATCTTTGAATAGATCACAGTCTTGACAAGGGCTGTCAGAAAAAGGTGTCCTGAGATATGCACCCACACACGCTCCACCAGGGCTGGACCAACTCTCTAAACCAGCAGCTACAATGGCCATGGCAGAGCTGAAGCCTGCATCACTGTTGTGCCCTGCTCTCTGATGTGTCAGCATGGTAACTCAAAAGGTAAGGAGCCCAACAGTCTGGCTGATGTGAGACTGACAGTGTAAGATAGAGTTATGAATACCTATCCCAAAGAGCAAGTGTTTTAATCCTAATCAAGTCATGAAGACCTCAGAAAATCATGGGATGGGATGTAGTATGGGGGGAAAAAAAAAAAAAAAAGGAATTCTGTGAAGCAACAGGTATTTTAATACATTATTTGTTTAACCAAACTATTTGTTGCTGAAGTTTATATTTAAACTTTCAAACTGTGAGTGCCAGTACTAGCCCCGGAGGAAAATAAACTGCAGTGAAACATTAGCCTCAGGCAAAATTCTTACTTTTCTACCATGAGTAACATTTCCATCTCATGGATACAGAGTTTAAAAATCAGTCTATTAACATAAGTCCATTCTAAATATGTGAAAACAAAACTAGCCTAAACTAAACTAAAATAGTTATATGGTTTATTCATCTGTCTTACAGAGGGCCAACTTACTGTGGAGCTGGTGCCCTTTATCACCTAAAGTCTATGCTTTGCACAAAAAAAAACACAGAAGAAAGACACACAATATTACAGCCAAGGAATATCTGTAAAAACACTATAAAAGCACAATAAAAACATTTTCACACTCTTCATTTCCGTTTATTATAGGATCTTTGATGTCATTTTAGGATCTTTCATTCTCTTTATTCAATAAACCAAATGACTGAAAAGTCACTTCCAGACTGATTGAAAAGTTTTCTACTTTTAGTATTATTTTTTGGCTAAAAATCTTACTAATTTGGTTATTCCAGAGATTTCCCTGATCACAGCTACAAAATAACAAATGTTTCCAACAAACTTGGTTAAGAATATCCAAATAAACCAGTGTTTGTCTCAGCTGTCAGGCTGAGACACCTGTTTTGGCAGCATTTGCAGCCAAACGTAAATTAGAGATTGGTCCAACTGCTGATTAAAAAATCGAATTGCCTCCTTGCTATGGCTAACCAGGCATCAGCCAATGATTTGACATACTCCTAATATCAACCTTTTAGAAGGAAGGGGGTAACTCATTAATAACACTTAATGCAGAATCCTCTTACAAGTATGAACAATAAAAAATGGAAATGAAAACTACAGCTTTCATGCACTGAAAGACAACACAATCATGAGAAGTAGAATAAAAATAACCTTCAGAAGACTGTTTAAAAGCACCTTTTGTAGTGCCATTATTAAATTCAGATAAACACTGTAAAAAGAAGGTTGGAATGAAATTCAACAAAAAGGGGGTTGTATTTTAAATATATCCTCTGTCTAACTGCAACTGATAAAATATTGTTATGCATCTAAAATATTATTTAAATATGAATGGTCAGGAAATATTAAAATACATGAAACATTCATATTTTAGAATATGTATTTATTGGTTAATGCTATTGCCTTTCATTCTCACAGGCCAAGCTTTGGCATACTTATTTCAGCACAATTTTCTCTGATTCCTTTAGAACTTTATCTGAGTAAGGATTTCAGAGTGTTTACCTTTTACCCTTCAGTGACTACATATACAGTTCACAAATAATCTATGCTCCCTGTGGAAAAATCAGGGCCAACAAAGTAAACTGTTCTGACTCTGGCAAATCTCTGATTATAAGGAACTACCTGAGCAAAAACTTGGGAGCATAAGGCCCTGAAAAGTTAGACATTCCCCTCTTGTATCACTCTAATGAAGCTGCCTAAGTGGTGATGTTCTGCAAATGAGACTAAGGCTATTTTTAGAGGTGTACAGAGAACTAGCTTCAGTAACTGGTAAAAACTCAGGCTACAGGATTGAAAAAGTAAAAAATAGAAAGAAAAGAAAGGAAAAAAAAGCAAAAGGCAATCCAGCAAACAGCATGAAATGATCCTGGAGTAAAAGCATTATTTGATAAGCATAACAAATCTTTTTGACATGCTAGCTCAATTATATTGCTAAAGTATATATATTTTTTAAGTTAATTATATTTGAAAAGAGTTACTGTACCTTCTGCTGTAATCTCGGCCATGATGATGGTAAGAGATACTCTGTTAAAGTGGACAAGATCTACTGTGGCAGCTTAGATTGTACTTCTGGGTTGTTGGCTCTGGCAGGAGCTGCAGAATGAGAAGGAGGGAGCTCCTCTGCTTTGTCTAATTGTGTTCCTTCTTCTTTTGTGCCCCTCTGAAGTGTCTGTTTCCTCTGCAGAATCCTGCCCTCCCAAAGCAACCCAAGGTCTTCCAGAGGCACCACTTAAAGCTCAGTCTAAAGTATCAGCTTCTAACAAAAATAGCCATGCCTCACAGTGAACCTTCAGCACATTTTCCTAGTATCCTCAGAACCATGCACACTACAAATAAAAAGTAAAAAGACACTGATCTAAACAGGACAGGAACTCATGGAGAGGCAACAAAAATCAAAAGAACTGGGAAAGAACTGTTCAACGCTCCTGCAGCCTCTCCAGCATAATTGCAGTTCTTTGGGGAGTATGTCGGGAAACATGAAATATAGAGTTCAAAGTAACCTTATCCATCCCAGTTCAACTTTATTCTTAGCACACTCAGTGCTTAGCACATTCTTCCTGACCTTATTTGGCTTGGGGAGGGTCCTATGAAGCTTACCGCTAAGGGGGAGGGTAAATTTGGGTGATTTTCTCCACTTCGATTCTCAGTTGTAGTTCAGAACCAATTAAGACACCAATTCAAACCTATGAAAATGGTAACTTCTTCAGTTTGGATTTCTTTCATCTTCTAATTTGCTGCAATTATCACACATACCTGTGAAGTTCATCAAAGTATTACAGAACAGTGTTGAAATTTAAATAGTAACAGTTTATATGGTCTAAATACATGAAGGTAATATGCAAAAATATTAAGCAGATAGATTTTTTTTTCTGTGCCTGATTCATGGAAATATTTAAATAGCTCAAAAATTCTGTGATTTTTAAACAAGATTTTATAAAACTGAAAACAAGTAGAATTTTTAAAAGAATTTAGAGGAAGAAAAATATTGACAATTTAAATAAGAATAATGATTTTAAAACCTGACAAACTTTACATTGCACTGCTTGTAATTTCACAGCTGTGGAATTATGTATGTGGTCAATAGATTGAAAATGAAATTAGCAAAAAATTGCCCTTGAGCCAGCATACCTCTACATAAATGTCATGATATAAAATCAGAAACCATCCTAAACAGTTCTTACTCGGGAACCTATAGTCAACTCCTCTTTGCTACATGAATTGGCATTTACACTTCTCATCTTCCCCTCAGGAGATGTAAGCACCTGGCTCTGTGGCAAAGTATAGGGAGAGGAATCTCCTTGTCCAGTGCATAAGATGCAGAAGCAAAGGTTCACTGAGCTGTACAGTCACCAGCAGGATTTTTTTCTTCCCACTACTCTTAACACACTTCAAACCTGTCACTTTACTGAAAATGTTAACTTTTTCTAGTCAAAGCTTACAATCAGTGCTCTGTCCTGTTTGTCCTTTAGCTCTACTGACCAAACGTTTTTCACTGACAAGTTTTCACTACTTGATGCTAAGTACTCAGTGCTTTTCTGATCATCCTTCTAACCCTCTATTTGCTCCTTTAGCCTGTCCTTCAGTAGATCCTCCTCACCAAAGCTGATAAAGGGATTTTAGACACAACCATATTCCTTCAAAAATACTCTTTAATGAATACCAAAATTACATTAAATTAACAAAAGAGCTGCCCACAATAGCTCAGTGGTTAGTAAAGGATGGTAGCAGGTATGATACTCAGGGAAAGCCCTTGTTCTTCTTAATTGTTTCTATTCTGAAGCAGTTCCATTTTACATGAATAGTTAAATATTTTGGGTCATCTGTGTTTTGACAGCTTTGCTACTTGCTTGAGTTGTGAGAGCGACCATCTCATCTGAATACCCAAAGCACGGAGCTAATCAATATTGCAAAGTCAAGATTGTTTTCGCTTGTATTACTATTCAAATTGAAATAAAATAGTAAAGTCTTAGTTTGGATATATGAGGAGAGAGTAATGATGAAAAATTACTGTCTGAATTTTTTCTTGTTTTATGAAGTAAGATCCAGAGATTATGAACCATACTCAGACATATCTGTTTGTATCACTAACTGCATATACATAAATGTCTGTACCTCACTGCTTTCCGTTTCACCTTCTGCCACCTGCTCTCTTTCCCTCCATGCCTTACTTCCTTGCTACTATTCATGCTTACTCTCACTCTTACTTCTGAAACCAAAATATAAGAGCAGAAGAAGTGAGAGAATCCAGATGGAAACCAATTTTCCACAACATCAGCCCAGTGGCCAGAAAAAGAAGTGGTTGATAGCTTCTGCATTCCTTGTATGTACAAAGCATTCATTCTGAGAAGTGGGCTAAAGCTGTCATATGCACCAATATCTTGCAAGTATAATTCTAGGAAATACTATTGGAAGTTACACAGTTGCTCCCTTTAAGGAGGACAAAGTGCCATATTTCCTTCACAGCCTTTCAAAAATATACAGTACTAAAGTGAAACCAAGTTCTGTGTATGTGTCTGTGCATGTACATTTGTTTTGAAAAACAAGCACTGCCATCTGAAAGTAAAACAGAATATCAAATTTATTCTTAAGGAGTCTAAGCAAGGGAAATTCTGAAAATTCTGTTTAGAGCTAGTTAGAAGTTTCGTTAAAATCGGAAATTCAGCTCTTAACTCAATTTAGGAATTTCTTTTACACTACTCTGTAAAATTCATAGTATGCAGAATGACAGCACAAAAGCTATACAACTCTTCATCCAACAAAGTAAACATTAATTTCCTGGCCTAGTTGCATTTCAGTAGGAGCCTTTCTGTCTAACCTATGAGAAATATTCTTTTGTAAGGTGCCCTTTTCTCTCTCCTTGTCCCTCAAACAAAAACAAAACTGAAAAATTGAAACTAATTTGATTCTTTAAAGTGATATCCAAACCTGGACACATGCAATTTCTCCTTATTTTCTTTCCACCATGTCTTGGGCACAATTCAAAAAATGCTCTTGGTTCAAGGTAGCAACAGTACTTCTTTGCACTAAGGGGGGCTACATAGTAAATGAACTGTCCTGTGATGAGTTCTTGCATTCACTGGTGATGGAGGGAACTATAGCAGCAGCTACACCCTCACAGTAGATTCCTGAGATACCCAAGTCTGTGTTTAAGAAAATAAAATGAAGATTCTCTTTGCTCTATAGTTGCCTGGATAAGGAAAAAAGCAGCAATCTTAGGAAGAGTGGAAGAGCAAGTACTATATATTGTAGTAATGCCTGCGTGTAACCCTGTGCCTTTATCTCAGACAACGTCTATTTCACTAAGAATCCTAACTGATGATTCAAAGTTAAGCTACTATTTGAACATTTTTTTTAGGATATCAGAGGCTTACTATTTGGCAGAATCTAATACAAACTCCTGCTTTTAGGTGTAAAGTTGGGTTATTCATATAATTAAGGTAGGAATATACAAATACTTTATGAGCTGATTTCTGGGTTGTCTTGGAGATATTATTAAAAAGGGAATTGGGAGAGACGACAGATCACATCAAATTATGAGGTAATGAGAAGACAGACTTTCATACTGATACAAGGAAACACTGGAGGAATTGAGTACAACTGTCAGCCAACAAGTGAATGAAAAACAAAATTTGAGCTTGTCTGCTAACGTATTACTGACGAATTCTCAGTGTTCAGTCCTAGAAAATCAAACTTTGCATAACAAAAGGTTTATGTATGTCAGTACATGCTCATCAGCACAGCAGGGTCAAAGAAAGGAAACAACTTTAACTCTGATACATCTAAGATGTACCTCTATCAGATGGGAATACGTTGTTATCAGAAACAGCCAGTAATCAACAGAAAGGAACTAAATATAGAATGGAAGTATAATGCCAGGGAGAGGGTGAGTGGTACTGAATCTAGTGAATAGTAAAGACACATGCAGAAACAAATATGGGATTAGAGCGATGTTTGTCAACTGAGCTTTCATGTGCCTATCACTGTGTCTCACCTAAAAAATCCAGTGCGCAGGCTGGAAGGTGTAAAGACCTTCCCCGGTTCTTCGTTCGCGAAGACTCGCCATTACATTACATTACATGTGCCTATGAAGCTGTTTTCCTCTGAAATAGACTTTTATTTTTTTGCTTTATTTTTGTTTAGGAATAATGTTACTTATAGATGAGATTTTCATTCAGTCATACTATTAATACCCTGTGTTTTTCAATACGAATAGGAGCACACATTCTGATGCCTTTGAAGTTCTAATCAGTCAAAAATGTAGTTGTGACTTTCTGTGGACCATCACACATCTCTAAAGTCATTGTTTTTCATTTGTGATTGATATTTCATGATTTACACTAGCAAGAATTTTGGAATCAGCATGACCAAAGTATAGAATTATTTTGGATATGCTAAATCACACCCAAAATGCAGAAGTAAACAAGACTTAGGTATCACATCTGGTCTAGGTTAAATCTTTGTATATGTATGTTTAAGCATTCTCATAAATCAGTCTGCACCACTTTTTCATTTAGATAATTGCATACATAGTACCTTGAAACAACTTCTTATTTAATATGTAGGAGACAACTGGTTGAAGTCTGTAGAAGATCTGTCCTACATTTAATGTGAACAACTGACAGACAGTTCAGAAGCTCTGTCTCTATAGGTAGACAGATCTGGAAGCAAATCAGCCTTTGCCTGGGGACAGCTGACAAGCACACTGGGGCCACATCACCTTGGCACTCTGTGCTCATTCAGGGACATTTTGTAGTTTACTTTACCCAAAAAGAAATTACTCCAAAACTATATGATAGAAACATAGCAGGAAAATATCAATGACATTGACTTTTCTGCTTTACTATAGACAATACTCCCAATTAGTCATTGTACTGCAAAACTGCTGAAATAACCTCAGTCTGGGTGTATGACTGAATAATGAACATTTTCTAACATCCGAGAAGGCCAAAAATTATAAAACTACTTCCAGGAAACAAGAGCATTCTGCTTAGTCTTGCAACCTGGCTAAGTGGACAGTTTGTGGAAGGAAATCAGAGTAAAGAAGCCCCTTTGTTTACAGAGGGGTTTTTTCAGTATTCTCTGCTTTAACTTTACTAAGTATTACTATGAGTTAGGTTCAGGGAGGGCATATTGCAGCATGTCAAGGTTGACTGCATTTGGATGAGCTTTAGCAGTACACTTTAATTTTCTTTACTTCAGAGCAATCTGTATCCAAGCTTTATTGTGTACAGAACATAGAAAGTTGTCAACCAATTGGTAGAGATGGGGATTAACTCTGACACAACATGAATTACCCCTGTTAGAAATACTGGCTGAGAATTGTTCAAATATAATAAGGTACTTGAAGTTCTGGCTGGTCAAAAATGTTCTTGTAAAGCAAGGTGAATTTAGTTTCTATGACTTTCCTAGAGAATAGGAAATTTCTAAAAATTCACTGATTTTTTCCAACATTTTA